GATGAATCCTGAAGATTTTATCCGGTATGTTGGTGCTGATAATAGGATTGTAGACCCCATCATGGAAGATCCCTGTGGTTTGAATCGTTCCAGAGTGAGTATTAGGTTGTCAGAAAATATGGAATTCAGAAAAAGAGATTTGCCCATATCACTGAAAATTTATCCTTAGTGAATAGTGGATAGTCTTGGAAATAACAGCACAGTAAGTACCGTATTTTTCAGAGTATAAGACACACCAAGGTTTTGAAGAGGCAAATTTAAAAGAAAGTAGGTAGGTAGATAGAGGGAGAGAGAGGGAGAGAGAGAGAAATACGGTAGGTAGTTAGGTAGGTAGGTAGGTAGGTAGGTAGGTAGGTAGGTAGGTAGGTAGGTAGGTAGGTAGGTAGAAGGATAAAGAGAGAGAAATACAGTAGGTAGAGAGAGAGAGAGAAGGTAGGGAGAGAGAGAGAGAGAGAGAAATACAGTAGGGAGGGAGCGAGAGTAGGTAGGTAGTTAGGTGGGTAGATAGAGGGATAGAGAGAGAAAGAAAAACAGTAGGTAGGTAGGGAGGGAGAGAAAGTAAGTAGGTAGATGTTTCCAGGTGTATTTATCCATGTGCTGGGGAAGGAAATCGCTGACACCCTGCAGCTCAATGTAATTCTCATCAACCATTCTAACTAAAGAGCTTTCCGAAAGGGGGAAAAAAAGTTTTTGAACTCTGCAAACCTCCCCAAAACGGCCTGGGGGGGGGCTTGTAGAGTGCTCGGGGGGGGGAGCAAAAAATGGCCCATTTTTTGTCAAAAAATGGCATGCATAGCCTTATGGAAGCTTATAGAGTGCTGCTGAGGGCTGGGGGGGCAAAAAATGGCCCATTTTTTGTTCATTTCTGCTCTCCCCAGCCCCCATGAACTCTCTGGAAGCCTCTATAAGGCTATGCACGGCCATTTTTGTGAAGGGGCGGGGCTTCAGGAGGCAAAACTGCTGTATTTTAAGTATAAGACACACCGAGATTTTCAGCGCCTTTTTTTCTTTTTTGAGGAAAAAAGATGCGTCTTATACTCCATATAGGGTATATGATGTGTGATCTGAACACAGATATGCTGAGATCTACTCATGCTTTTGGGCAAGAAGAAATCACAGTAGGGTGGGGGTAAGGTTTTGGTCTTTCTGTTTGCATAATTTTAAGTGGGCCCAAATAATTTTAAAGTTATTTGCCTTATTGGAAGTTGGAAGGGGATTATCCTAAAATGCTAAATGTTTCCTATTGCATAGTAATAATTGGCTTCTTTCAAGATGGGTCATAATAGATCTCAGTTCGTTAATCTGAAACTCTTAGATTTGCTACTTCCTTCGTGACATACTATTTGGCATAGACTATTAAGATTGCATCAGTCAGTTTGTTGTTTCACAAGATCTTTTCAGAGTTGAGATATGAGCTTCCCCGAAGGGCACTCAGTTTTTCTTACAAGTAATTATCTTTTTGTATCAATTAAATACGTTCAGGCCTTCTCAGTTAATTTGGTTTTTAAATGACCGATTTATATACAGCTATGTTTTGAGAAGATTCTAGAAGACCCTGGAATATAATGATAAACAGGAGAAGAGAGATGACTAGAGAAAGCTCTAGAATAAGACAGGGAAAAATGAATTTATGGATAATTTATACACAATAATAGTTTTATACAGATTTTTTTTAAATCATTTGCAGTTCCATTCATCTCAAAGATACATGAAGTAATATGTATGTGCATTCATCACATGTGATTATGTATATATAATTAAGAATGCCTTTATTGCGATTTAGGGACATACTTATATCTAAAACCATTTTCTTGAGACATTTTAAATTTCAGTGTACTTAGACTGACTTTTCAAGTAACTTCTGTGTCTTTCTGTGTAGATAAGCTTTTGTGTATACACAATTCTGGGAGTTATAAAACGAGCTCGTTGGCCCACTTCCTTGGAAGAGGCAAAAGCTGGAGGATTTGTGGTGGGATATACACCTAATGGCAATCCAATCTACCGTAACCCCTGCTCAGTGCAGATCCTGAAACTTTTTGACAACTTGCTTGCTCTGATAAGGTGGGTCAGTATGGCACGATCCTTGTTTTTAAAGTGAATGGTGGCATCTGTTGAAATAATTTATAGGAAAGCATGTAAAGAATAGAGAAGAAAAAGGAACCCCTTGGCTTATCCTGCCAATTGGACGGTATGTTTTGTGGGAGTCTTCCAATTTCCTACAACATAAAATTAATACCAGCTTTTCGTAATAGTCTTCATATATTTTGAACCCTGTTAGTTAGGTCACATCTTCAGTCTTATACAATAACTTTTTGCTTCTCATGTATCTATTGTTGAAGAAGGATTTTCTGTATTAAGCCTGTAAGTTTATCTTGAGGGAGTAGGGAACTTGTCAGTGACACTATTGGTAAATGTCTTGTGCCTCTCTGTTAAGAATATTTTTTGTTTGTTTACCTTGAAGGAGAGAGGAATAATCAAATGAAATGTCAGTACTGATCTGATAATACAATCTCATATTAAATAGCTTTATCTTTGAAGTGGAGAGTATCATTCCAACCTAATTCAGAAGAACAATATTTACTTGTATGCAGTGTGCTAGAGTGACCAGACCCAAAGAGAACAGTGTTCCTGCACTTCTCATAGTATTAGCTTATGTACTTCCTTTTTTGCCTATATTGGAGTGAAAGGGAAGCTGCTGTATCAGGCCCAGCATTTTTAAAGTGAAGGATAAATAGTCTTTGAGAACTGATCTCGAAATAGTGGCTCCTGGTGGCCTCAGTTTTGCATATGGTCCTATTACAGCTTGAGAATCAAAACTCAGCCTGCTGTATACTCTCAGAATTAAGCCTTACTGAATTCAGCATGACGGCATCTGAAAAGATATAACTGAAGGATCTAGTCCTCTTTCAGGGCCTGTAATTACCAATTATTTTAATCTTTTCATAAGAATAGACTTAAGTATAAACTGCATATTTGAAGCAGATTTTTTTCTAAACAGATACCAAATAATCACCTTTACTATTCATTATTGGATCGCCAAATGATCTAATCATATTTTCAGTACTTGTCCTCATTCATTCATTGTATCAGAACAATTTTGGGAGTTAGATGTTATTTGGGTTAGCCTCCATTCATTTTTCCTTAAAACTATGCCCTGATTCATATAGCATGCATTTTCACTAATCAATGAATTCCTATTTTCATACCGTGTTTCCCCAAAAATAAGATAGGGTCTTATTTTCTTTTGACCTCCCAAATAAGTACTTGGTCTTGTTTTTAGGGAGGTCTTATTATTTTTGAGATGCAGTAGGTGGCGAGCGTGATCACCTCATGGCTGCTGCTGTGTTGCAATATTTTGGGGGAGGGCTTATTTTCTGGAGAGGGCTTATTTTAGCGCATGCGCTCAAAAGCCCAATTGGGCTTATCTAGGAAGGTCTTATTTTCTGGAAAACAGAGTAAATACCAAGCAACCTAGATGTCACTAGTTCAAATTATTTGATATACATTAATTCTTTTATTCATAATTAAATTTAAACCTTGCCTTGGTTCACAAAAATGGGACATACCATTTTTGTTCCTTAACATGTATTCATTGACATCCTCTACCATGAATATCTTGTACAATCCAAGTTGTAATCATCTATATCCTGCCAACTGAGGTGAGCAGGAACATTAAGTGTTGCTGTCCATAGTAGCTCTAATATAATAAATTTTAGTAAAATAAGCAAGTATACATTAGATTACCATTCTTAGTTGGACCCATGGCACAGAGAGCATTTTCTGTTAACTATAAGGATGAAGTAGTGGTCAGATTCAACACTTTTTCACAAGCACGGTCAAAGCCAGTTTTTGTTCGAAATATATTTATACTTCTCTATGAAAGCTAGAATAACTAATTTATCTGTCTTAACTAACATATTGTTGCCTACATCCCACTAACTAGGATGCATAATCATTCACAGTAACTATGGGGTACAAAGTACAAGCAAAATTCAGTATTCCTGACTGTCTCAGTTTGTAGGAAATAAGCAATATGGGCACCTATATGATTGTAAAAAAAATGTATCTTAGACGTGTTAAATTGGGAAACTTCAAATATGTTAGAATAGACCCTTTCATGCTAAAAATTTTGTATCATTTTGTGTCATGATAATGTATTCTTTTATAAAGAAGGCCCCCTATAAGTACAGAACTAATGCAAAAGGGAATAGTTTGAGCTAGAGCCGCCTTCTTTCAGAATTTGTTTTTATCCCTATTTAGAAGCATTGCATTCTCATTATGTCAGCTTTTTTTTTACATAATTAAACTACAGAGGCATTTATCTTCTTTCATTTTAAATGCCTCGTATCTGTTTCTTGGTGGCTTTTGTGGAGGTAAACTGTTTGTCCACAACTTGTTCCCAGCATAAATCGCTTTCTCTTGAATAGCAGAGTTAAATAAATGGCTCTGCTTTGGGTTTCTCACATGGAAATTTGTGTTCTGTGTGACAAGTGAATACATTTGCAAAAAGGAAAAATATTAATATAAAACTTCCACAGCTGTGTTATTGGTAGAGAATAGTGTAACTGTATACATGTCACAAAGCTGCACTCAGTGAAGGCTTTTTTATTTAGGGAATCAACTGTGATGGAGCAAATGTTGTTTTTAGTTGAACTGTTGTGTTGGCTGCTTATTCACATCTTGTTGGGTGTTTTTCGGGTCTTTTCATTTTCTGTGGTCTGAAGAAAACGTATCATTAGTAATTCATTATTTTGAATACACCTTATAGTTTTGTTATTGCTGTCTTATTGCATGCTTTATTTTGCTAGAATGAGAGCTAATGCAGCATTTGGACATGAAGCAAATAGAGATGCTTCCGTTCCAGAATGGAACCTTCACTATACATGTTAACAGCTCATAAAGGGACCACATCTTTTCTTGGGCTTGTATGAAGTACCCAGGCTCAAGAAAATGCTCAGCTGAATTAAGTAATTAATTAACACATGATTGATTTCTGTTTCTCATGTGCACATATCTGTGACCCTACATAGCTATGGTTGAGGCAAGGAAAGGTTGCCTCTCCTTTACAGAGCTACCAAGAGGTACAGGTACTCCTCACTTAATGATAACAGTTGGGAACAGAATTCCATCACTAAGCAAGGTGGTTGTAAATTGAAAAGATGGAGGACTATAATGACTTACAATCACAATTTCAGTTGCAGCCATTAAAGGAACCAAGCACGGTTATTAAGTGTGATGTCCCGTGATCACAGCTTGTCACTTCCCTGCCAGTTCCCCCATTGATTTTGCTTGATGGAAGCCAGCAATGAAGGTTACAAATAGTGGTCACATGACGCTGTGACAACTGCAGTTTTGAGCACCTATCAGAAGACCTGTCATGCAGTGCTTTCATAACTTTGAGTGATCGCTAAACAAGTGGTCATTAAGTGGGGACTACCCGTATAGCAGAGATACTCATGTCAGATCCAAAGCACATCTGCTTCAGATTTGAGTGCCTTACCTTTTAGTTAGAACTTTCTTGGTCAAATTAACGGTTACTTGGACCTGTTACCCAAAGCTCATAAAATCTTGTATAGCAACAATCTCCCCCTAGGCCTAATTTTTATAGCCTGCCAGAAAATCAAATCACATGCATGCAGATGCAGAATTGTTGTGTGGTCACCATGCAAATTATTCTTTAAGTAACCTGCATAGGCAATCTAACTCTTTTACCCTGATTTTCCTTCCTGCAGCCACCATTCTGATATTATGAAGATGCAGGAACAAAAGGGAAGAGGGCAACGGAGGAGACTGGATGAGGAACAGGAGAGGGTATTTTAAGGGGTCAGCAAGATTGTGCAGCTGGGTCAGGCTACTATAAAAAGGATAAGGAAATGCCTTCCAAGCAAGATTACACATTTTAAAATGGCATTTTATATGTGATCTTGATAAATATCCAAACATCCAAAGTGGTGTCATAATCATTTCCGACACAATTTGGGGGCATGTAAACACATCAAGTAAATTGGCATTGATGGCATTGCCAAAATGTTCACTGCCATGCTTACAAATTTAATAGATAATCCACTGAGTGCTGCCTAGTATGGGGAAAGAATTTGCAGGTTACTGAAAGGCATCTTTCAGTGTCTGTTCTTTTGCTTTCCCAGGAGCTAATGCATCAGCTTTCACTCTTATTTCAGATAACAAAACTTTTTGAGTATCAATTTTTCATATTTAAAATATCACACACACAGACACACTCATGCCATTTTGATTCCAGTATATGTTTGAAAATATTGACTGCATTAAGTTGTGGTCAGTCACATTGACAGAACATTAAAAATATGTTTTCAGCTCTTTGGCATTCTTCATCTCCAGAAGTAACAGAGATTCGTGAGACCATAAATTGTCCCTGACACATTTAACGTAACCTATGACAAACTCCTGTATCTTATGGATTTATTTACCAGGTTTACATCCTTCCTGTCCTCTAGGAACCTAAGATGGTTTACATGCTTATTTGCAACAGTATGTGCTGTTCCATCCAGTGAAGTTCAAAGCAGTTTACAGCCTAAAAGCAATACCATATAACATTAAAATATATGATAACCCAAACCTGACCAAGAGAAAGCTGTCCAAGGACCCACCCATATCCATAACAGAGAAGTGTCCCTTATCACCAATCTGGAAGGCGTTAAGGACTTTCCCCCCCAAAAAAAATCTAAGGATGAGAGCTTTTTCTTCATACCTCTCCCTCCTCCAATTTTCCCTACAGCAATACTCTTGTGAGGATAGCTTTACCAGTGAGCTTTGAGCAGGATGTATTGTTTTATGCCAATGCAGGCAGTGTTACTCACGCTACAATGCTGCCCAATCTAATGTTGATTAGTTCCACAAGTTTGGAAACCCTATTCTATCTTTATCCCAAAAGTGCTTTTTTCAAGAGGCAACTGGGCTTTCTGGTTTTTCTTTGAAGATGTTTCACTTCTCCAGAGTTGAAGAAGCTTCTTGCATGAGAAGCGAAACGTCTTCAGAGAAAAACCAGAAAGTCCAGTTGCCTCTTGAAAAAAAGCACCTTTGGGGCAACCATGACCTGATGACTGAGAATCTCCATAGACCTATCTATCTTTTTTTAAAGAAAGTTTTGGCTTAAAAGCCATTTTATCTAATGCAATATGATTTTAAGCCCCTGCTTTAGTGCTTAAAGGCTTAACCAAAAGAAATAGTCACTCTCTCTTCATAATGTGATGCTTCTCCTTTCTTGCAGCCTCTGTTAGCACCCTTTGAAATGAATGGGCAGTTCACACCTCAGAACTATTGTTCCAGGCCCTCTGCAAGCTCAGGCAGACATCGCTGCAATTGGTTTCACTTTGGTCCCGTTTCTTCACAAGTATAGAGACTTCTTTTAGAGACTTCTAAAAATGACAGCTGAGACTCTGGAGAGCAATTGAGAGGCCTGCCCCTGCCACCCAACGACCCAGTCCTTTCTTGCCCTGCACCCTCTTACTTTGGGGGATTGCTGCTCTAGGGGGAACAGTCTGAGTTACCCTTGATCGCCTCTAGCAGCAGGCACAGAGGCAGTTTTGGCGAAGGCTGTTGGGCCCCTTGGCTGCAGAATTTGTGCTGTGTGCAGTTACCGAAGCCCTGAGTGGAGGTCTGAGGTCTCAAAAGGAGAGAGGTAGGTGAGACAGAGACCCTTCCTCCCCACTCAGATGGTCCATCCAGCTGCTGAGGGTCCCTCTTTAGCCTGGATGGCAAGAAAGACGTCACCCTAGGCTGAATGGAGGTTCTTCCCTGGCAGCATGGTGTGGTTAACACAGAGTTGTCCTGCCTTTCAAGGGGGGCATCTTTCTGCCACAACGTTGCTTGTAGCATGTGAGCGTATTCATAAGCTGCTGCATTCTGTCAGAGCCGCCTGCCATTCTAGGCACCGTGACCCATCCTTAGGGAGGCACTGTGACCTGCATGGGTCCTTGCAGCCAGCGCTTCAGAGGGCCAAGGCCAGGCAAATTGGAGCAAAATGTTGTCTGGAGTAACATGAATCCTCCACACAAACTGGAGATTTCTCCATGTGCCCAAGGCAGGGGTGTTTTTTATTGGCAAGGAAGGGGGATCCCATGCACAAGTGCTTGGTCTCACCTTCCTCCTCACCAGATACAGGAGCTGTTTACAAGCTGAATCCGGACTTCCACTGTCAGGGTAACTGTTAGATTCAACTTGTGATTGTAAAATATCACATTTTCTTCCAGGACCCACAACAATTTGTATATGCCAGAGATGGTGGCTAAATTGGGAGATACCTTTGCAAAGGCCTTTGATATGCTGGAAGTGGAGAAGAATGCCATCCTTGGTAAGTAGCTGCTGCTTACAGGGAAGCCCAGAGTGGAAATGTCATTTAGTACAGGTATTCCTCGACTTAACGATCATAATTGAGCCCCAAATTGCTATTGCTAAGAGACAGTTAAGCGAGTTTTGCCCCATTTTATGACCTTTCTTGAGATAGTTGTTAAGTGAATCACTGCAGTGATTAAATTAGCAAAGTTAAGGGTTACATTTAAGTGAATCTGACTTCCCCATTCACTCAGCTTGTCAGAAGGTTGTAAAAGGTGAACCCTGGACACTGTAACTGTCACAAATATGAGTCAGGTGCCAAGCAGGCAAATTTTGATCACCTGACCATGGGGATGTCGAACAGTCATAAGTGTGAAAAACAGTCATAAGTTAGATGTTTTGGTGTTGTTGTAACTTTGAACAGTCACTTAATGAATGGTTGTAAGTTGAGTATTAAGGTGGCCCAAATTGGAGTAAATTATTGTCCAGTCAAACTAAAACCCAGAGCCTCTGATTTTCTTCTGTTTTGAATGAAACAAATTTTAGATGGTCTGGCAAGGCAAATATGACAAAAATGTGCCCCTGTCTTCCCCAACACTGCTTTCCTTGCTTTCAAGTGCAACACAATCTAACTAATCCACCTACACCTTCTCCAGGTCATCCAAGCACAGTTACCACATGCAGTAAGGCCTCTGTTGAATGGACCTTTTGAGGAAAGGGGACATCCGTAGAAACTGAAAGTGCATCATTTGTGATGCTACCTTATAACCAGTGCAAAATACATCATTTGGGATGATATAGATCTCTTGCATGATGATATTAGTATGCAAATGATAAATTTATGCAAAAGAACTAAATACAATTTAGCAAAAATACCTCATTCAGACTACATTGTAGTCCATTGTATCTCATGTCCACTAAACAAGGCCCTGTTGAATCAAGGTTTTGCCGTACTTTACATGACCTTTACTGACTTTCAGGTTTTTTAGAATTCAAGTTTAAATCCTGACTTTTCCTTCCAAATTCAGCCTGAACTTGACTTCTCTAAACTGCTATTCTTGCTTGCCATTTTGTATTATATTTGGATTTTATACAGGAAGAGATTTAGCAAATTTATACTGGTTATCAAAACTGGAGAAACTGGTCTAGCAAAACGGTGAGTCCTTGATTCATCTTTGCATGGACAACAATGTCTACTTATTTTCTATAGGGTCTCTTCTTGTAGTTAGGACACTGACAGACTACAACATTCATGTCTGCCTTTAATGATCTCCACCCCAAGACCTTTGGAGGGATGTTCTTTCCTTTCAAACTAAAGCCAAGCTCCCCTCATATATTTACAGCTCTGTCTGGTTTCTCAGGAGTGTTTCTATTTATTCTTGCCTACTGGCAAAATAATTTTACAGAGAAAACTGCTGGAGTCCATTTGCACCAAAGTCACATAAACTGCCTGTAGCAAAGAAATGAACACTACCAGCATGTGACGGCTTTCGAAAGTTGACCCTAGGCATTGGCCACTACCCCCTATGAAGCCGGAAGGCTATCCGGGGACCATCGAGGCCCTCAAAGCAGACAATCCAGAGCCTGCAGCTCCTGCAGTAGACACTAAACTTCCAGGCATCCAGCAAAAATCAAAAGAGTACTGGGACCTGGAAGAGTTTTTAGTGAGGAAGATTGCAATTATCTCCCCGCTCACCGACCCACCGACTGTGCAATAAAGTTCATGCCTAGGGCAAAACTACCGAAGCCTAAGGTGTACTCCATGACCCCTAAAGAAATGGCAGAATTAAGGAAATACATCGATGCCAATTTAGAGCGGGGCTCTATCCAACCAGCCAAGTCAAAAGTAGCAGCCCCCCTTCTCTTCAAAGAGAAGAAAGATTGGGGGGGGGGGTTTTGAGACTGGGCATTAACTTCCGGGGGATTAACACTGTTTGCGTAGAAAACACCTATCCCCGCCCCCTCATGAAGGACATGGTTTACAACTTGCTTATCCCTAGTCTTTTTAAATTGTGTTTATTCGATACCAGCTCCCCATCTGTTTTAACGAATAAGGTGGAAATTGCTAAATAATTTGACTTGATCAGTCTTCAAAAAACTCAACACACAAAAGTGTTGTTTCAAAATATTTATGGTATACCTATACATTCTGTTAAACAAGTTAATTGTACA